TTATCTAAAAAAATAAAAGATAAAAAAATTAAAAAAATATATATGGGCTGGTTGACGCGGCTGGGTCAATGCCTCGGTCGGCTGGATCAAGGCCGGGTTTTGACCGAGTTTGAGCGGGTTCTTTGTTGTCCGGTCCAAATACCCACTCGGACCGATTATGACTCCGGGTCGACCCGGGTAAAAAAACTATGACTGTTATAACTCGTTTAATCAACGAACCGAGCTTTGTTATAAAGATGAAAAATAATATGATTTATATAATTTTTAATAATTCTTTCTTCTTTTAAAAAAAGGGATCAATATTGGTTCTCCAATTCCCCTCAGGTAACTCGAACTCGGGACATGGTACACGCCGAGCGAAGGTATGCGCCAGTGCGCTAACCCCTCTTCGTCTATTTAATAATTCAACTTGTTAATATTGATAAACGAGTTCGAGCTCGACCAGTAGCTAATTAAAATTTTTAGCTCGGTTCGATACGTGTATAACTCTATCTATACTACAAGTAATATCACATATGGATAGAGTTGATTCATATTGGCATGAGTCATTGGACAAGTTCGACACTATGTATAATATAACGATAGAATACCACATTACCGATTAGATGCTCTCATCAAACTTTTTACACACCCATGTAAGTGGGTATGAGTGAGTGATCCCAAGGGCAGAGTCACGGCAAAGGTTGGGGGTGAGCTCCAATCGTTTGTGGCTCCAGCTTGATCTTCGTTTTTCGAATTTTTTAAATTTATATTTGGTAAAAAAAAAAAAAAAAAACTATTAGTCATCTTATATTATATTAAAACACAGTGTGAATTTTAATTGGCCCCAATATAAACTAAATTAATTTTTGATTAAATCAGTGCTTTATATATTGGAATAATTTTATTTGCGCCAATATTGATTGTGCTAGATTTCTATTTGAATACGTACGATGTAATTGAATTTACAAGTTTCACATTTTATATTACATATTCCCTAAATTTTTTAATACATAATAGTTGAGTATAAGAATTTACTTCTATCAATATAATACTATGTAACTGAAATCATAGATCTCACAATTTATATTAGATATTCACTAAATTTCAAATAAATGATAGTTGACTATAAGAATTTACTATTAAATCTCAATTATTTGTGTGGCATATGAACTTTAAATGACATGTCATATAACAATGACATGATGATTAGTATTACACTCTCTCATAACAATTATTTTCATAAATTATATTTTTTTAATTAAAATTCAAGTACATGAGAAAAAAAAATCAAAATTTAAGAAAAATAATAAATCAATGTCTCTGTAGAAATGAACATTTGTAATAAATCATAGAATACACCGAAATTCGATACTCTAACTGAGTTGTTCATGTTCGATTCGAGTCGTTTGGTAGACAAGCTCGTTTGAATATATAAAAGAGTCAGGTTTTTGAATTTTTACAAGTCAAACTAAAAAATATACTGTGGCACAGTTCTCTTCCAATAACACAGATTCATGTATCACCCAAATTGTAGCATATTTTGATACCACAAAAACATTCTCGTTTCATACAAAACATAGCAAGTTCTATAATCCTAAGGAAATTCATTTCTACCGTACTGCAAAATATATTACAAAACCGAGGAAGGTCACAACTCATAAGACAACCACATACATCAAAAGTGAGCCATATATTATCAACTACATAGTTACATATTCAAATATCCTACTTTAAAATATACAATAAAAACCGGTTCTAGCTTAAAATCCCCCGGTTGGAGCGAACTCTCATATGTTGATTGTGTAGTAAAAACTTGTCTGTCAAATGCGGTGGTAAGATGGCAGCCACACGCATTCGAGCTTTTGTTGGTAGAAGATGAGTAAATAACTAACTCCCATTTCCACTTGCCCAGCAGATCATCGACAAATACATGTACAGAGAAAATCCAGGTCCCAAAACAAAAAAAAAAAAAGCAACATTACGACAAAAACAAGCTTTGAAGATAAAATCGCTACAAAAGTTCGGTACAGAACTCAATTATTTTTCATTCCTTTTACTTAGAGCACCTAAACACACCACATTAGGCAAACCTCAAGAAAACACAACAAACCCACATGCTTCTGAAACACCTGCAGAGAATCCAAACCTACGGTGACCTACGCAAAAGCGCTTACCGACGGTTTCTACATCTACAGATTCCAGGTTCTTCGAAAACGAGCCGCTCGTGAGCTCAATATTTTCTAACTTTTGCCAAGTTCATAAATGTTTTGCTTTCACAAGTTGAATGTAATATGTTTGATGTTTACTGTATGTTATAACCAGAATCCAGGAGAAGCAGAAGCAGCATTTAAATCCGTAGGCACGGGGACTGTGATAAGAGCATTTATGACCGCAAACCAGACAAAACCATTAGTTATGCCCACCAACACGAGTATAACCTCGTTTTTCCAAGGTGAACAAAAGCCATTGCCACCGTGGCTCACTCAGGATGATATAAATTATTTCGCTTCTAAATTCAAGAAAACTGGCTTCACGGGAGGATTGAACTACTATCGAGCACTGGACTTGTAAGTTCTATAGCACATTTCGTATGCAAAGTTAATCGATGAATGAACGAACAACCGGATTGCCAAGAAGGAATTGTTAAATTTGTATCAATTTTTTTTATTATTTTTTTTTTCTCAAAATTTGTATTACTTACCTTTTCATTTTCATGCAGGAGTTGGGAGCTGACAGTAGCTTGGACAAGAACAAGAATTACAGTGCCCGTCAAGTTCTTGATTGGTGAATTTGACATGACGTAAAATTTTCCGGGCGTGAAAGAAACCATAGCGACTAAAAGCTACAAGAAGCTTATTCCAAATCTAGCAGAAGTTGTGGTGATGAAGGAAGTCAGACATTTTCCCAACCAAGTGAAGGCCGACAAATTCAACGACCACGTTTATAACTTCATCTCCAAATTTCACTAGTTAAAATATATTTACTTCTATGTATTGTTGAACCACCAAGACCCTTTCATTATGTTTGATCAAACAGAAACGATGATTTCGAAATAAATTAATTATATTGAGCTTTATATGATAGTATCGAGTTGTGCATCTGAGTACATACATGCATCATATATACAATTCGAAACAGAGCATCTTATTCTCAAAGCAAATCCAGTTTGAGCATTGAAGGCCTACTACAGTGACGAATTACATACATAGCACTAATTCATAATCAGCGAATGCTAACAAAAAAAGAAACCGCGAAAAGATCTAATGTTATATCCGATGTTCGGCCGAGAACAAATTCAAAGTTTACATGCGCACAGAGGTCCTTCACGTCGTAAACCAATTTCTAAACGAAACCAAACAGTTTGTGACTAAAAACATTTATCACTACAAAATATTTATCAAATAACAAAATATTTATCACCCAAATTATATGTATATTTTGCGACTAAAAAAAAATTCCCGTTTCATTCGAGTAGCAAGTTCTGATAAGACACCCACATAAGACATCGACTGTTCTTCTGTTAGCTTGCCTAATAGTCATTCTGAAAGACTGACATTTGTTGGCCCTAATGGTTGGTCAGGCTAGCAGCACCAAAAAAGGCAACCTTAAGAAAATAACCAGTAATTATTCAGGGGCATTAATCAGGTTCACATTATAAGTACCATGATGTACCCAACCAACATATATCCAAAAACAAAAGACAACATTAAACACTAAGACAAAAAAACCAAGATGTGAAGAAAAATTTACTACAAAAGTTCAGTGGCAGAACTCAGATAATATTCACTCTCTTTACT